ACCCACACCCACACCCGACACCCACACCCTCTAGTTGCTAGATGTTATGTTCTCTATGTGTATTGCTATCGTTGCATATGTTAAATTTGTTGGTGAAAAGAAAATGCTTGAATGCTCAATTATTACTTTGGATCCGATTACAGTTAGTCGAAAAATTGTTCGTCCATCCTGCCACATTGCTTTTCGAAGAAAAACAGTAAACGAAAATAAGAAGTCAAAGTTTTTGTGCCTAAATTATTCGCAAAGTCTATAGAGTGAAACGTAACAAGATCTGCGGTCTAATTCTTTTTTTAAGAAAAGAAAACGAAAATTGAACGAAGTGCGATTGAATGAAGAATTTTTCGACTCACTGTAGGATGTGTCGCTTATTCGTTTCAGATCGCCGGGAAATTTATTTGCACTCCGACTTCTCTCGATCGTTGTCTTTTGTTTATAGAATAGGAGCGAAACTAGTTTATCTGTTATTGTGATAAGTTTTACAACTTTAGTAACAGAAAACGAACACAGCAAATGAATTCTGAACCTCAGAACAGCAGCGAATAGAATATGTTTCGTGCGCATTCTGTCACGCGAGAAGCAACATTATACGACACATGCAACCAGGAGAGAGAGAATAACATACGTGACAGAGCACGTAGAGAGAGCATAGCATGAAACCAGTGTGCAAGGGAGAGAGCGTGTCGCCAGAAAGAAATATGGCCAGGGCCATGATCCTGATTCATTTGAGAAATATGTTTCTCGACTCTAGTCCAGTTTTGCCATAGCTCCTTCAGCCATAGATGATCTTGAGACAATTCGATCGCTTTAGTGTGATATTTTAGAGATTGCTCATATTTGCCATAATCGAATTCGAGCAAGCCCAGATTATTATTCACTATAGCTTTCTCGAGTACGTGACCTTCCTCCTTGAGAGCTTGCGTAAATGACCAGTGTGCATCTTCATAAACACCCTTCTTTCGATACAATAGACCCAACGTGTTGAAAACGCGTAAACGAGAAGGTAATCTATTATACGAATACACTAATTCATAGTTCATTTCTTGACGATCACTTAATTCTGCTGCTGATCGAATCGATTCTTCCACTTTTTGAATATTTTTCAGTGCATCTTCGTATCTGCCTTGTTCAGCAGCCAACGTTCCAATGTTATAATAGATATGTCCACGAGTTTTATATGAAAGAGTGCGATCATCCAGCATACGTTGGTAAAAGTTTTCAGCATTTGGTTTATCACCAAGTGCTCGTAAGATGTTACCAAGTGAGAGATATGTACTACCATTTGTCAAACATTCATCAAGTTTGGTCAACTGTTCGTCAAGCTGGGCCGATTGCGGATTGGAATCATCACAAAATTTGAGTTTAATTGTCCAGTAAAAAGTATCTTCTTCTACCGATTCAAGATACCATACAGAGCCTATCGAAAAAAGAATTTCACATTCATGCGGCGAGTTACTTAGTTTCGTAATATTAGCAATTGGCACTGTTGTGTTTTTTGTTGGATCAATTTTCATCTCAAATATTACACTTGCATATTTATCGTTACACGTTCCAACACAAGCGTATTGGGCACCATAAGAGGAATTTTGTGTTACTGAAAGAAAGCCATTGATTGAAATGAGTTTACCCTCATTTTCCTTTAATTTTTGCAGTACAACGATCGGCAACGTTTGACCTCGATAAACGTGTTTGTCAATACCACTTGCTCCCTGTTGATTAGCTTGTTTGGCCAAATGTTGATGCAGATGGGTGATGTAGTGTCGGCATTTGAAGATGCGATCTATATCTTCTGATCGAAACGCCTGATTAATAAGACGATAGACAAATGAATCTTCGGTATAATAATAAATGGCTTTATCTTTATCATATCTTCCTCGAAATTGATCAATTTTTTTCAGTTGGGCCGTATTGGATTTGTGTTGGTTTCGACAGTAGCTACACATTTCATCCAAAGCAGCTGCATCATGGTTCATTCCAACAAGAACTTGAAAAGATAAACGAAATAAAAGAAATTTCAAAGAATCTGTGCTTAAAAAATGAAACGATTTTTCTTCCAAATTCGAATTAAATAAACCGAACGTTGGGATCAAATCTTCGATAGTGATCTCTTCCTTACATTGTTGTTCAAGTTGATCAGGATCAAGACCACTCATCTTTATATCTATAGAAATACGTTTAAATAATTCATCGACACTATGACATACAGTCCAACACTGTGAATTTGTTAATGACGATTCGTCTGAATCCAAATATAACGCATATTGGCGCAAGTAATCGAGTTTGTTTAGTTGTTTGCGTTCTGCAATAAGGTTACATAAGTTTTCAGTATCGTCGCTGTGACTAATGAAAAAAGAAGTTCTTATTTTCGTAGAATTAAGATAGTGTATCAATTCAAATTTGTCAGTCAAAGGCTTCACATCGCTAAACGTTTGATTAAGATGGATTGTCACTTCATCTTGTATGTCGTTTGAAAGATTCTTATCACAAAACCATATGCAAGTGAATTGTTGATTAGCTGGATATCTTTTTGACTGTGTCGTAACACTACAAACTCATCTAGTAACTACATGCCGCAAAAGAGATCAAACTCACTTTGAAGGAAATTGAAAGTAAGATAATTTCTTTCGAATTTCCTCAGGTTTGAATTCTGTATTACCTGCTCGTGGCATTCCGTAATTTATGACAAAATACCGTTATCTGAAACTGGAAAAAATATTAAGGAATAAAATGAAGCATCAATGTTAGCAAAAGACATTGCCAATCACTAGATTGACGATTTCAATATTACATTGACATCCTCGATTTTTGCTTAACACAAATGATACAATACTGGCGATATATTCATAAATAACTACTTTTCGATAACTTCAAGAATATTCCTGAGTTGTTTTTAAGCAAGTGCACACTTCAGCATCGTGTTCTTGGCTTCCTCATTGATTCTGTCGAGTTGGTCGAGAGCAGTCCAATAGTCATCGATTGTTGACGATGTGAGAGTCTTTCCAGTCTTGAACTGAAGTTGATCTTTAAAATGTTGCATATTAAAGTTAATTAAATCGATTTGAATGTGCCAAACATTATCGGGTGTTGACTTGATTGATTTTAATCGAAATACAATACCAAGAGGAAAAATAAGAATATCAGGATCTGATGGGATTTGATTCACAGATGCTTTTTTAAACAGTTTGATTTCAAACAAAACAACAGTGAGACCATTGTCCACTGCTCGACGACAAATTTTGATCACAGATGGATACGATTTCGATGCTATTATGAATGAATATATTGACAGTAATGCATTTGGATTTTTCTGCATCATCTCTAAATCATCGTTAGAAATCAATTGAGCACGATAAACAGTTATTGATGAGGATAAGATCTCTGAAGGTAACGACCGAATTTCCTGGTCAGTATATATGAGTTGTGAATTTGGCTTCAATATAGAACGGAAATCATGTTTTTTGAAAAGTTCGTTTATATTCTGACCTAATTCTATATTAATAAATGAGTGACTATCAACATTGATAAATTTGGTCAATTCTGATCCAATATGAGTTGATTGTGGTAACTTTGATAGAATATCAATAAAGAGTTGATAACGAAGAAATTCTTTCTCACATTCATCAAGATGTGCAAGAACTTCGGAATCAGCTTTAAGCAGACTCATCTTTGGAATCTGAGTAGGTATTTGTCGATAAAAGCAAATATCAGTAGCAAGTTGTACTAGAAACTCCTTGTGACAAGTAAACAATCCACTCATTTTAGTACTTGTGTACAATTGTTTCGATTGGATACGTTGTCTATTGCCGGCGATAAAAATATAGACTGCATGTACAGAACTGTGGTCAATTAATGGTTTAACATCTTTCAAATCATTATCAAAAGTGCCACAAATAACTAGAAAAATCGATGATGTCTCTCGTTCGGTAATGAAATTAGAACAGTGTTGAATATTGCCAAAGTTTGATGACTCTGCGCCATTATGTGTAAGGACAAATTGTTGATGCTCATCGCAAAATAATGTAACGATTTGTAACACATTAAATCCTTGTTGATTTATATTTACAGGAAATGACACATCAGCAGATGTCGGTTTTTGTGTCCATAGCTCAAAAAATAATCTTGGAGATCTTGACCAACGAGATGGACGTGTCAGAAGCTCTTCGCTATCTTGATTCAATTGCTGTTGTAGCAAATCGAGTTTTGACCAAATACCAGAAATTTTTGTATAATCGTGTGTCCAAGTAGAGTTTTGACTGTTGTTGGCATCATCATATATGTAGATACGTTCAATACATCTATGAGAATGGATTAGTGGAACGAACAGTTTTCCTCTTGTGGCAGATACAACCAAAAAAATTAATCTATTCTGGTTTTCATTCTTCTTTGTTAGTAGACGAGAAACACAGTCAAATTCATCAGTAAATTCTTCGGGATAATAATGAGTTTCGTTTACCGGCTGCGAGAATAAATGTATGTCTAGACAGGCGACGAGAATACTAAAGTCTCGTTTTAAATCAATTATTCCACTCGATGTGTCTAACATATGAAAAAATAAGTGCATGTATAGCAAGAAATCCGAGTCATACTTTCATCGTTCATAATTGCAGCATTATTTATGAGTGTGAGGCCGATCAGGTCGGTGCAACAGGATGGAGCCGTTTGAATAAAGATGCGATTAGTATGGTTTTTGTCCTGTATGATCCAAGCACAAAAATGTAATCGTTCGATTTTAATGTATTGGAAAACTTCCTCAAATCTATGTCACATAGATAATGACGATTGAATGTTCATACTTTTTCCATAGGCTGCGAAACCAACGGTCGACTCGAACAACAAAAAAATTTCTATTCAGAACTTTAAAAGTTTCTCTCAAATACATTAGTGTTAAGGCCTAGACGGTAGGTTACGTATAATCTATAAGAAATTTAGAGAATTACTGAAATTTATGGTGCATTGAAGTTCCATTGTTGCTCCTTTTTTTTACTCTTTATGCATAAGGAATGTGTATATTGAGCTTACCTTTACTACTTGAACGGATTTTAGCGGAGATAAATTTTTGTTATATTCAATCGGGATGTCATTAGTACATACTTGTGATATATTTCCCTAAAGAGCTGTCATTTTGAGGAATAAAAATTACGAAATTCCATACATACTTCATTCACTGATTTCTCTACTCCTGCTTCCAGATTGTTTGAATCGGATTCCTGAAATAGATAAATTCAAAATGATTGTTGTATTGGATAAGTCATGGTTCATTGTAAAATTGAAGACAAACCGGTATATGACTTGATGTTATTGAAACAGATTCTATTGACGAGGTCGTAGTAGTAGCTGCGAACAGAGAACAGATCATTAAGTCTTTGATTCATCTTATTGTATATGGGGGGATGACAAAAGCTAATTCACGCGACTCTCCTAGAAATCATAATTTGAATCTGATTGTTCTATTATAATGACAGCAGTACGCACGATCCGGCAATTAGCAATTTAATAAAACTCAAGAAGAATGAAAGAATTCAAGAGCTATCAATGACATGGATAACCACGATCTGTAACTACCGTAGAATTCAAGATATATGAATAACTTGGACACCTGCAACCTCTAACTATCATGGAATTGAAGAAATTGAAGCAAATCAAGGAAAATCAAGTAATTCAAAGAATTTAAAATCAAGAAAATTATGCAAATGAATAAATTCATAGAAGAGATGAGAGCGAAATATCAGACCACAGCACACAACATATAGGTGCCTGAATTAGGCCTGTGACAGTTCAAGTTCATAAGTTCGATTCTTTTGGAGAAAAGAACTGTGAGCAAGTTCTTTTGATAAGAACTGAACTGTTACGACAGTTCGTCTGATAGCAACTGAACTGTTGTCACAATCTATTTGAGAAAAATGATCTAGTTCAACAGTTCTCATGAATTATCATGATTTATTCTGATAGTTCGTTAAAAAGAGAGTGGTGTTATGTTGCAGTTAATATAGATGGTATGACTAATTCCATGGAAAACGTACCACTTTATACATGACTTTCTCAGAATTGGCTCAAACTTTCAGCGTTTGTAAAGCTCGATGAGCTGATCATTTTGATCATAAATTCTTAAACGTTTTATTATGAATTAGGGAAGAAATGACCAAAATACTGTTTTCAGAAATTCTAAAAAATCATGGTTAAAGTGAAAAGTTCTCATTTTTGCGAGAACATTTTCTCTTTTATTTCAAGAACAAAATGAAACATTCCATACATATTCTGATAGTCCGTGATAAGCTCTATCCAACCATATATGATTCAAAATGTTTCCATTTTTTAAGAAAAATTTTTA